TCACACCCATCATGTTGCTACTATTATATATTCACAATGACACATTGAAAATACAACTGTCAGAAATGGTGAAGTTACTTAAAATTAATTTGACAGCATATTTCTGAACTTTTTAGGTTTTATTTTTGTTAATGCAGGCAAGTTCCCAGGTTCAATCTCTCAAAAAGGCCAGTTAATTCCAGCATTGATATCACCACCACCACCACAATCATCATCATCATTATCATCATTCCTTCCCATCTTGTCCCTTGGAATTCAGCTAGAAAAGATCTTGGGATAAACTGATATACTGCTATAGTTCTTTCATATTTATTTTTCTGCAGACTATTTCACTGGTGAATAACCTAGCTGCTCTTTGTAGTTGAATAAAAGTATTAGGATGTAGGCTCACTGAAAGCCTCCTTAGTATTTATTATTTGTTTTGTTGTTGTTTTGTTTTGAGGCAATTGGGGTTAAGTAACTTGCCCAGGGTCACACAGCTAGTAAGTGTCAAGTGTTTGGTCTGAGACCAGATTTGAACTCAGGTCCTCCTGACTTCAGGGCCGGTGCTGTATCCACTAGACCATTAGCTGCCCCTCTTGGTATTTATTATTAATATTATTACTGCAATGATGTTGTTAGACTTGTATAGTGTCTGTCAGTCTACAAAACATTACTTGACCACCTTGTAAATTAGATAGTCAATGTACTATTACCACCCTGACCACTTTCCCCATTTTATGGATGGAGTATCTGAGGCTCCAAAAGGTTGAATGACTGTTTTTCAAGCTTACCTGGTGGGTAGGTGATGAAAAGAAGATTTCACTCCAGGTTTACTGACCAAGTGTTTTCATTGCACCATCTGATTCTATTTTGTGATCAGTGCGCTAACTCTCTGGAATGTGTATTGCTCAGTTCAACCCTCACCTTTACTGAAAGAATAATTCCCCTGTCAGTAATGGTTCTATAGCCTCATCTTTGTATTCCAAGTCTGATGCTCCGGGCTTTGCCATACCTTGTTTGATGTGTTGTACGGCTGATGTTGTTTCAGGGTGTCATGCCACTAGAAAGCTGCGCGGTGTTGTGTGTGTACTGTATACTGCAGATTTTTACATGGTGCCTAGCAATTCTGGGTGATCAGAGAAGTATTTAAATAGTAATACAGACTAAAAGTGGGAGGGTTCATAAGCCTCATCAGGTGCACACATTATGATCATATAGCTCCGGTCCCTTGTTAAAACAGGGATGAATCATCACCAGGAAAAATGCCGAAATAGGCTATGCATCAACAATTTCAATCCTGGGTTTACTATGAGCTTTCATTGCCTATTACTTCCCTGCAGAAATAATAATAATAGTAATAACAACTCACATTTGCAAGGAACTTCATACTCATGATCTTATTTGAAATGTATCAAAATGATAGTTTCAGCTTACATGGTTTCAAAATTATGGTTTCAGCATCAACAATGACTTCTGAGTTGACAAAATCCTTTCCTTATAAGACTGAAAGGGTGATAAGTGAGGAATTACTGTACTCCTATCCTACAGGGGAGGTGCACAAAGGATCAGCCTTGGAGTGATGAAAACCTGGGTTCAAGTATTCCTTCACATAACTCATCCTGGCTATCCTCAGGGATTAGAGAGAGAGAGAGGAATCACTGATTTCATAGCACTGCATAATCAAATTAATGCTAGAACCTGAGAGGTGTAAGGGGCCTTAGTCCAAGGAACTTCCAATTCGATACCTATCTGAAGCAGAAATCCCTTTATCACATTCCCACAGATGGTCATCCAGACTCTGCTTGAATACCTCTGGTGCCTAGAAGCTCACTTCCTCTAAAAGCAAACCAGCTTCTTAAATAATTCTAATTCTTCCTCTTTTACTTCCTCCTATTCATCCTAACTCTGCCTTGCTGGGGCTAAACAGTTTAGTTGGGCGACCAATAGACCTTTGGACAAGTCTAAAGAGTGAAGACAACGTCTTATAGATGTGACACAGGTCGAATTTTCCAAAACAAGGTCCATTCTCTGTGCATACAGCAGGGAATTGGACCGCCCTCTCTTGGCACATACCCTATGACAGGTTTTGCTAGCGCCCAGACCTTGAATTTCCAGCCCACCTAGCCCAGTGTCTATGTGTCTGTATTATTATAATAAAGCCTTTTTTATTTGGCTAACTGTACTCAGGCATTGTGCACAGAATTTTTGCTAGGATATTTCTCTTTAGACATTTTCAATTGAAACCAACACTGGCTATCAATTCAGTTCAATCAGGGATGAGAGTGGAAAGGGCAGCTTTCATGTTACAGGGTGTTCCAGAAGTTTAAGTGCAGTTTTAGCTTTAATAGGTAAAACTGCACTCAGACTTTTGGGATACCATATATTTTGTTAATTAAAAGAGACAGTGGATGCTAAAACAGAGAACTGAAGTTACTAGGAGAGTTAAAGAGGGGGGGAAATCCAGTATAAGTATGTGAGGCTTTTGACCTTCCCCTGGGTATATGCTGGTGAGATTCTTTTGTGCATCCTTTAACCTCAAACCTCTAAGAGATTGAAAGATTTATTTTAAATAAGAAAAAAAAACATTTCTAAAGCCCCTGGGGCTCTAAGCATTACAAGCCTAAATTCTCCTGCGTGAGACCCCTTCAGTTATTCATATATTTGAAGAGATGTCCTTAATCCTTTTCTCTGGATGGGGAGAAGCAGAGGCAAAAGAAAGAGGGAGAGAGAGAGTGATGGAGAGAAACACCAGGAGACAAATAGAGAATAATAGCACACTGAACTTGCATGCCTGAAGACCTGGGTTTGCATTCCATCTCAGATTCTCTCTAAGTTGCTCTACCCTAAGCAATTACATAACCTCTCTGAGCCCTAGGGATAATTGTGCCTACCTCGCAGGCTTGTTGTGAGGATCAAAAAAGATAATGTATGTAAAGAGCTTGCAAAGCTTCAAGGCTGTAGTAACATCCCCTCATGTCATTGGCAATTTTTTAAAAAATAAAAATGACATGCCAAGAACTGTATCAATTAACAAACATGGACTAAGTACCTACCATGTAATGGGCACTGTGCTAAGTGCTGCAGATGCAAAACTACAAGTGGAATAGTGCCTCCCCTCGAAAAGCTTACATTCTCATGAGGCAAATAACATGTACATAAATAAGCCTAGACAGAATAAAGAGAATCCATGTTTGGGGGGAAAGAGCACACACAGGTAGCTGGTCAGGGATAAGAAAAAGCTTCATGAAGGTGAGCCTTGAACTGAGTTTTAAAGGAATCCAGGCATACACCAAGGGACAGTTGGACAAGTGAAGAGCACGGACTATTTCCTCACCCTGGGCACTAAGCTTGTAGTTGCCATAAAGTGACTTCTAGTGAAATGATCGTCCTTGCTGTCATTCTTTTGGAGAGCAGACTCCACTAAGATGAAGATAAAATGTAGGCATTTTGAGCAATTTCTGCCTTCCCAGTGATATTTCTGATTTCAAACTATCAGATTCACAGAAAGCCTGCAGAGCAGAATATCAAACAGTAGTTTGGCAAAATACTACTATTAGTCTTTGAATCCAGATAAGCTGGGGCTTGCATGAGTACAGGCCTCATACTGAGCTTGAAAGACAGGTACAAAGATAAAAAACAAACTGAGTGTCATTTTGACAGGATAAAGCAGCCAGAGGCACAAAAGAGGAGGACTGACTTCTGGAAATGCAACTTAAAAACAAAAACAAAAACAAAACAACCTTCAGGCTGTACTTTCCTAGACCTATCCAAAGGTCATAGGATCATAGAATTAGAGATGAAAGAGACCTTCAAAGTCATCTGATCTAATTGCTTCATTTTACAGGCAAGAAAGCAAAGATCCAGTGAAGGGAAGTAGTTTACCCAAAGTCACAGAGTTAGTTAAGTATCAGAGACAAGGTCTTAACCCAAGTCTTCTGACTCCCAATCCAAGAATCTTAATAATTTCCCACTTTGGGAATGGCAGATGCAATATGTGTGTGTGTGTGTGTGTGTGTGTGTGTGTGTGTGTGTGTGTGTATTTTTTCACATAAAGAAAAATTCACTTGAATTAGTAAGGTAAACATGGATTTATGTTTTGGGGCTGTCCTATGAAGGAACCTTTAGGAATCCCAACATGTGCCACTCACCCTCTCTCTCTAGCTATAGGAGGAAGGTCTGACACTTCAAGGAAGATGGTACAGAAGTAGACTTTATTAATGATCGAATGTGTCTAATTTTCCCTGACATTTCTGGCTCCTAGGCTTCACTTAACTCAGGAATATGTTGATTTCGGGTGGATGTGCCAAGACTGGGTGGGGTGAGGGAATGTGTTTCTTTGGAAAGATAAAAGATTCAGTTGAACTGACCCTCTGGTTATAGGAAAGAACCACAGTAACTGTGGGTGGGAAATGACACCAATTAAGAGACCGGCTGGTAGCACCAACTGTTTCTTTAGTCTAATTTCTGCTTACAGACTCTGTTTTCCAAATCATTCTGAGCACGTGCTAGTATCTCCCTACCCCAAGCCGATGTTCTTTTCATGATATAATTAGAACGCTCAGAGTATTTAAACACTCAGATTGCTAGCTGCCGGGGAGCCCAGATGATGCTCCCTCTTTCTTCCTCCTTCCTTCCATTCCGCTCTCCTTCTCCGTCTCCCTCTTTCTCTGCCCCTCTCTCTTTATTTATTAATGTGCACGACAGTCCACCAAGACAGTATTATGACTGCCCACAAAACACACATGCTAAACCCAGCGTTCCTCTTGGTACCGTCCAGTTCCATCCCATCACCCTAGCATTAAGAGAGCGAGTCCCCTCTAGTGGCTGAAAAGATATGTTCTCATTGGATTTCTGTGGTGGTAAGGACCAAGAGTAGGGGGCGGGACAGGTCACGTGATCTTCTTGGCTCCCACGCCCCTATTGGGCAGGACTCCTCCCCAAACTTAGTGCTTGGATTGTGCGCTTAGGTTCCCTCTTTTCGTACATAAACAGAATAAACCAGGCCCCTGAGTGCGAGGGGTGGGGCAGGAACCGTGCGTGGAATAATATAATCGCTCAAAATCACAGCAACATAAGGAGATGCGTTAAGTCCTGGACAGCCAACTGGGAACGAGCTAACTTCAAGTTACACCTCCACGCCTCTCTCCCTCCCTATCCAAAAGCGCTGTCTGTCACTGGAGAGCCGACGCTTTCTTCACTCTCACATTCACTCACCTCCAGGGTGAGTCGGCTAATCCGGGGTGGTCCTCGAATCCTCGGCGGGCGCCCTGGTTGCCAACTTCCAAGGAGGTGCCGGAGGATCAGAGGGGCTGTCGGCGGGTTTGTAGGTCCAAGTCTTTTGGAAGGGAGTAGCTTTCCCGCGTTGCGCTGCCTGGAACTTAGACGTGGGCGCTCGGAGGGAGTGGAGATGATCCCGGATAATCGGACTTCGCAGAGCCTGCTGTCCGCCCTGCATCCGCGCAATGCCAGCCCGCAGTTCGCGGGGCTGCAGTTCGTACAGTCTTTCAAGCCTCTCATCATCCCTGGCTATTCACTCGTTGTGTCTGTCGGGGTCGTGGGCAACTACCTTCTCATCTATGTCATCTGTCGGACCAGGCGTATGCACAATGTAACCAACTTTCTCGTGGGCAACCTGGCCTTCTCGGACATCCTAATGTGCGCCACCTGCGTGCCCCTGACTCTAGCTTACACCTTCGAGCCGCGGGGCTGGGTATACGGCCGCTTCCTGTGTTACTTCGTGTTCCTCATGCAGCCTGTGACCGTATCGGTGTCTGTGTTCACCCTGACGGTCATCGCGGTGGACCGTTACCACGCCACTGCTCACCCGCTGCGCCGCCGCCGCCTCAGTGTCCCCGCCTGTGCTGGTGTGTTGGCAGCCATCTGGTTGCTGAGCTGCGCCCTGGCCGCTCCTGCGCTCCTCCACACCTACCACGCCGACTTCCCCGAGCTGCACTTCGCCATCTGCGAGGAGTTTTGGTTTCACCGCGAGCGGGATCGGTTGGCCTACGCCTACAGCACCCTGCTGCTCACTTACGTGCTGCCCCTGGGAGTCATCTCCGTGTCCTACCTGCGCATCTCCGTGCGCCTCCGCAACCGCGTGCTCCCGGGAAACGCCACGTCGCAGCAGCAGGCTGAGTGGGACCGCGCCCGGAGGCGCAAGACCTTCCGCTTGCTCGTGCTTGTGGTGGCCGCCTTCGGGGCATGCTGGCTCCCGTTGCACATCTTTAACCTGGTCAAGGACCTGGACATCAGCCTCATTGACAAGCGCTACTTCAACCTGCTGCAGCTGCTCTGCCACTGGCTCGCCATGACCTCTGCCTGCACCAACGCCTTCCTCTACGCCTGGCTCCACGACAGCTTCCGCTGCGAACTCAAGAAGATGTTCTGTTGGAAACGCTGGTGGCGGCGGCGCCGGAGGACGAAGCGCGTCCAGCCAGTGGACGGGCCTCCAGCATGCCCACTCGCGACTGTGGTCCTGTGAGGCCGCGGGAGAGGTGGAGGCGCACGAAAAGTTGATTTCTCCAGCACTGCGCTGAGTAGACGGTCAGTCAGATTGAACCAACCCAGGGGGGCCGCTAGCATACATACTGCAGTTGCCGCAGCCGTCCCTCAAACTCAACTTTTGCGCCCCCGGGTTCCCTTTAGCGCCGTCCACCAACTGAAATGGAGGTATTAAAAACAAAACAAAATGAAAACAAACCCAAAAACCCAACCCAACTCATTTTTGAGGAAGGACCTTATTCCTTTCCCATCTCTATCCACACACTCCTAACCCCTGCTTCCACTTCTTTCCCAGCCAACGCACACAGAATTAGCTGATCTGCCCTCGCTTTGTCCATCCTCTCACCAACTGAGAGGAAGACCCCACTACAGTGATTCCTACGCTTCTCCCAGCACGGAGACACCATGGCTTATCTCACTTCGTTAGCTCTGGGGCGCCCAGGACCCTCGGGTCCAGCCACTAGGGCGCTTTGGGCGGGAGGAGGTGAAGTGTGAAGAGAGCGTGAGGGATGTTTCATAAGCTTCAAGAAAGAACAGGGTTGGACAGCTACTCTGTGGTTTGCCTTTCTCCCCTCCCCTCACGCACAGACTCTCAACGCAGACCTTGCTTTCCACCCGCTCTGTACTGTATAGAAATTGCAGAGAGCTGCATAGACGACACCTAGGTGTACATTGTCACTAACTTTGGTGAACTCTGCTTTTATTTCCAAACGAACAATCTCAGAGCTGTACCTTCTTTCCTCTCTTCCTCTGCCTCTTTAGTCACTCCTGAAAACTTTTTTTTTTTTTTTTTTTTTTTTTTTTTTTGTAGACAGAGCTCGGAGAGCGCCTAGTAAGTGCAACGGTCGTCTTTCAGTTACCTACTCGAAACTTTGGCTCCTGAGTGACATTTTATTGGAGGTTGGGGGTAGGCAGAGGAATGAGGGATAGGGATTTTCAAAGAATTGCCAAGCTTGAAGTATCATGACCCAGAGTTCTTCTTTTCCTGGGAAGATGTTCCTTGTCCAATTTCTGCCAGGTGAAGTCAGATGTGTGATCCAGAAACAACTTCTTCCGTAAGGGCTGGAACAGAGTGAAAATAACAGACAGTTCTTCACTGCACAAAAAGTGGTTGTTTATGTGGTTATGACATTTTTTTTTCCTGCTTCGGGCACAGACCCTGCTGATTTTTTAAAAATTTAAATTTGCTACCCACCTCATACTGCTCTGGCTCCTGTGGTTTAGTTCATTAAAGCCTCCATTGATTACTTTAGAAACGACTTATTAGCTTTTAAAAGGAGGGAACCAATTATTACCTTCTAGTCCCTGCTGGAAGTCTTCAAGCCAAAGCTTCTGTAACATGTCCCACCTAGCCAGGAGCCTCCTCATTTTACTTCTTAAGGGCAAGAGAAGGAGGTAGGGACTGTTATTAGACTTCTTGGATAACATAGGTGGTCTAACCTCTAGCAGTGTGTCATTCCAAGCAAGTTAAGTACCTTCTCTGCACCTCTATTGACTCTATCATTTCCAAACTGAGTTAAAAGGGCTTCTTTTTCCTTTTGTTGCTGGCTTTAACAAAATGTTGAGAGAAGACTTCCCACAAACTTAGTATCCCAGAAATACGAGGATGGAAGGGACCTTGGACATTATTTAATCCAGGAAAGGAAAATGTAGAGAGGTAAAATTATTTGTGTGGCCTGTATATCAAGTCATACAACTGACTATTGACTGACCTTGGATTTTAAAAACTAGGTAGTTTTGTAGTTCCCAGCTCAGTGTTTCTTGTGGCTTGTAGTTCAAAAATTGTAAAAAAGTCAAACATTACATATATTCTTCCTCCACAAAGAATCAAATCCATAAGCCAAATACTAGTGTAAACATGGTAAAATTAGATGAATGTCTAATCCTGATGGAAACATTCCAGATTAGGTAGTCTGGTTTTTATTACTATCATAAAGCTATTGTGCATCAGATGATGCTTTTTGGTCACAGCAATTTAGGAAGACCATTTACTAAGGTCTGTGGGAGGAAGGTGGGGAGGGGTTGTTCCAACCCTGCATTGGTGGAGGGATTGGCTGCTCTGAGGAAATTATGGATGCCTGATGTGTTAAAGTAAGTGTAATTATCTGTGCATTTATCACATTTTCCCCTACCAGATTATGAGCCCCAACAGAGCTTATCTAAACCTTGTGTTTCCCTAGTGCCTAGCAGAGTGCTCTTTACAAGCAAGTACTTAACAAATGTTTGTTGAATTTGATTGCAAATATATTAAAAATAAAGAACTTTTACTGTCTGGCCATAAGTCTGGTTTAGTAAATGAGGTGACAACTATTTTTGAAGTATCTGATTCCATCTCGGGATAATGTGGTCGAGAGATAATAGTTTGGAGGAAAGTGATACAGAATCCTGTTTCCCATTGAACAGCTCAATTGCTCAGTGATTACTGGAGGGCTGACTAAAGGAGCTGATGTGCAAAACCTCAAGGAAACATCAGGGAAGCTGCCTGAAAAACAAAGCGCTGAGAAAATTTCCTGCTGTCATCAGAACTCCAATGGGAATTTGTGCTTGATTTTATAACGAAGGCGACAAATACTTCTCCCAGGTCCCAAGGATGGCTTAGGATTGCAGCTAGGTCTTGATTAGCACAAATGACGAATGAAGCAATTGCAGTACTCCAATTCACACTGTATATTTCCATTGGGCTGAAACCCCTGCCCATATTTGACATAATTATAACTTTATTCACACTAATCAGATCCTGGCTGTATTTATGTAGCAAATAAGGCAAAAGAAGTCTAATTGACTTCCCACTGTTTCTGGTCTCTATGCCTTTTCAGGCTTTCTCCAATGCTTAGAATGCTCTTCTTCCTCTCCTATACCTTCTGGAATTCCTACTTCAAACTCAGCTCAGCATCATCTTCTACATGAGACTTTTTCTGATCTCGCACTCTCCAAGCTGCTAATGCCTTCCCTCCAAATTACCTTGTGTATGTCTTTAATATGCAAATGTGTGTATTTCTTCCAATAGAATGTAAGCTCCTTTAGGGCAGGGACTATTTATTTTTCATCTTTGTATCCCCAGTACTTAGCCTTAGTACTTGGCATGTATTAGTTACCTAATAAATGTTTGTTGATTGAGTATTGAATAAAGTTGACACTCCTTAGCCTGGCATTCAAGGCCTTTTATAATCTAGCCCCAAATTACTGTTCCTGACTTATCTCCCATGCTTCCCCACATGTACTGTATGTCCCAGACAACTTGAATAACTTATCCTTCCCCAAACATGGAAGGCAGCATGGCACAGTAGAAAGAATAATATGATTGAAGCCATAGGATCTGGATTCAAATCCTGGTTCTCTAGGTCAGGGTGGGAGATGGCAGGTTGTGATAGGATTATTATCTACTATAGTTTCCCCTCTGCCTCCCACATGGCTTAGGTTAGTTTTTTGCTTGAAGGGTCCTGAAGCTGACCCTGGGACTTGATAGGGGTTCAGTGGACTAAGGCTCAAGTTGAGCCTCCATTTATGTAGCTTCCTAACATTGCTTACTGGTCAATTAAGGGTATAAAAAAGGCCCATTCACATGAAATCAAGGCCCTTCAGACTGGACAGATGTTCTAAGCCTCTACCTCCATCATCATACCTGCCCTGCAACACCACCTTGGGTATTTTACTACTGATCTTCACTTTATTGATCTTTAAAGCAAGAGAATTGGATTAGACAACCTCTACTATTTCTTTCTCCTCTGAAACTATGATCATGCGCTTTATACTTTCCCCTACCATAGTTCATGATGCTCTTCTGGCATATCTTCTCCTTTAATCTCCACAATATCTACAGAAATCCTATCCATTCTTCAAATGTCATCTCTATGAAACTACTCCTCATCACTCCAGTTAGAAGTGAATCCCACTTTCTTTCTATTTCTTTACCAGTTATTTATGCCTTTTTTATGTTAGCACCACAGTCTGCCTTGGAATATATCATATCCCCCTGCCAGATAAAGCTTGTTGAGGGAAGGGGCCAAACCTAGTCTTCTTTCCAGTCTTCACCAGTACAATGCCTATTGACTAAGCATAGAAGGCACTCAGAATAAATACTTGTTGCCTGACAATGACTAATGCATAGGACAATTAATATGCTCTATTAATGCCTGAAAGTCTTTTCTAGTATAGTCTAACCTGGACAAAGGAAATAATGTTCATGTTAAGGTGGAGGCTGACTTGCAAATGTAATGCAATGATCTCTGATTCTCAGAGGGAAGGGACAAGGTTTCTTTGGTGGTTTAGAAAAAAAAGGTCCAGGAAGGAAATTGAACCTGCAGAGCAAAGCAATATGAACCAAGAGTAACAGGAGACAGAACAATATGGAAGATTTAGGCAAGAGTCACAGAGAGGAAGCAGGATTTCAAGATGCCTTGAAACTATGTCATACAAAGACCAATGAAAGGAACTTGATAAATTTTGGGGAATTTAGCCTGGAGAAGAGAAAACTGAGTTGAAGCAGAAAGGGGATAGAATAGAGCATGGCAGATTGGCTATTATAGCAGAGAGACTAAATTTAACTTCTGGAAGACAGGGCTGCAAGTGAATGTTTCTGTAGAACAGATTTCACTCGGTTTGGCATGGCCCCAGCCTGTGAAGACCTTCATGGTGAAAGGGAAGCCCAAGTTTGTTGGGGTTAGGATTGAGGATGGCCTGTTTTAATAGGATCACTATCTACCAGAGGCTGGGAACCTCTTTCTGGGACTTGAAAGATCCAGGGAGTGAAGGCTTATGCTGAGCCTCCATTGACATAGCTTACTGGAGGACAGATTGGAGTGGGGAAAGACCTGAGGTCCCTACCAACCGGAGGGTTATTACAATGGTCCAAGCATGAGCCACCAAGACTGGTGGTTATGTAAGTTGAGAGAAGGGGATGTCTATGAGAGAAGTAGAGAAGGTAAAATTGACAAGACTTTACAACAGAATGGATATGTGGGATGAGAATGAGGAATTGAGGATGACACTAAGGGTTTAAGCCTGTGTAACTGGGAGGATGGTGATGCCTTTAACAGTTCCCTCAATAGGCAAGTTTAGAAAAGTGGAAGATTTCTGGGGAAAGATAATGAATTTCTTTCTGGATATGATGGGTTTGCCTGTAGGAAATCCAATTCAAAATGTCTAAAAGAAGTTGGTGATGTGGGACTACAGCTCAGAAGGAAGATTGGGATGGACACAAAGCTTTGAAAATCATTTGCATGTAGATTATCATTGAACCCGTAGAAGCTGAAGAAAGCTCTAGTGAGATAGTATTGAGGGATAAGAGAAGAGGGCCCAGGATAGAACTTTGAGATGCACATAGTTAATGGGTATAACATGGATGAAGATGCTTTGAAGGAGGCTGAGAAGGAGCTGTCAAACAGATAGGAGAACTAGGAGAGAGCAGTGTCCCAAACACCTTAGAAAGGAGATAGTATGCAGGAGGTGATTAACAGTGTTTAAGGTTGTAGAGAGATAAAGAAAGATGAAGACAGTGTAGCTAGGTGTCTCAGTGGATATAGCACTGGCCATGGAGCCAGGAGGACCTGAATTCAAATTGAGCCACAAACACTTCTTATGTGACCCTGGGCAAGTCACTTAACCCTGATTGCCTAAAAAAAAAGAGAGATGAAGACTGAGAAAAGGCAATTAAGATCTGGCAATTAAGAGATCATTAATAACTTTGGAGATAGCAGTTTCAGTGAAATGGTTAGGTTAGAAGACAGATTGCAAAGGGTTTAGAAGAAAGTGAAAATAGCAGAAGTAGAAGCAACTACTGGTTGTAGCTTTCTTAAAGGGTTTATCCTAAAAGAAGAAGAGATATAGGATAATAGTTTGATTGGATTAAGTGAGAGTTTTTTTAAGAGTAGAGAGGAATCTGTAAGTATCAGGGAGACAGAGAGAGAGAGAGAGAGAGAGAGAGAGAGAGAGAGAGAGAGAGAGAGAGAGAGAGAGGATGATACAGGCAGGAAATATGCTGGAAAATATGGGGTATGGACTGAGATGGAATCGAAGATTGATGCATAAACATTTGTCTTGGCAAGGAAAAGATCTTCATGTGAGGCAGCGATGACAGGATATAGAGGGGAGGAGGTTTGGCTGATGTGAGATGAAGAGGAGGGGAGCTTTTGGCACAAATTTTTTTTTTAAAGAAATACGAGGTGAGATTCTTAGCAGAGAGGATAAGGTGAGGGAGTGCTGTGAAAGCCTTGAGGAAGGATGGAAAGGTTTGGAATAATTGCTGTCATAAGTAGGATAGGGAATCAATTAGGAAGGTATAAAAGAACTGCCTTGCTCCACTGAGGGCCCAGTTGAGATTAGATAAAATACATTTGTAGTGCACTCGAGACAGTTTCCTAATTTCTTCAGCTCCATTCAGCAGCAAATGAATAAGTATGCCCAGAGTGGATGATTAACAAACTCTCACCATCTATTATTGTCTCAATCCCTGTGATATTAAACTATCAGCTACCTAAGTTCAAAACAAGCCCTTTCCTAAGCCTCACTTCAACTCTATTCCCTCTCACATCTTTCTCTCTAGTTCTGCATAGTCCTTTCACTGTGCCCTCTGGAATTCCTGTTCCATAATTGAAAATATTCCTTTTATTTCAGATCTTTTCCTCTCATGCTTCTTCTGGCTTCTGCCACTTACAGAGAACTGGCTTTTCTGACCATCTTCTCCAGCAATGGCCATACCTTCTCTCTTTTCTCTTTCGTGTTTTTTCTTGGTGGGGAGTCAGACATATTTCTTGCTCTGCACTGACCCTTCCAGACTCTTCCTTTGCTGCCACCTTTCATGTTCACAGCCTCATTGTTATCCTTTACTCTTCACTATTCCTTTCCCCACACATCCAGTCAGTTGCCAAATATTATTTCTGCTTCTGCCTCTCTCCCCCAACCACCACCTTAGTCCAGGCCCTCATGTACTTTTGCTTGGACTGTTGCAATAGTCTACTAATTATCCTATCTGCCCCAAGTCCTTCCCCACTCCAGTCCATTCTCAACACAGCCACCATAGATGATTTTCTTGACACTCATGCCTGAGCATGCCATTTTCCTATTCAATAAGCTTCAGTGGCTGCTAGAATCAATTTTACATTCTTCTGTTTGACATTTAAAATACTTAGCGTGGATCCAACCTACCTTTCCAGTCTCATTATATGCTGTTCTTCTTCACATACTACCTGGCCAAGCCAATCAGGCCTTCTTGCTGTTCCTTGAACATGATATTCCATTTCTCATCTCCATGGCTTTGCACTCACTATCATCCATGCCTGGAATGCCACCCCACCCCCATCTCTGTCTCTTAGAATCCAATGTTTCAGGATTCAGCTCAAGCATCACATACTTCATGAAACCTCACCTGATGCTTCTAGCTACAAGTACCCTCTTCAAAACTACCAACAGTGTTTTTATGTTGCATATCATCTGTATGCATTTATTCATGTTATATGTAGATTCACGTAACATATAGATTTGTGTTATATATTCTGTCTTTGTATACATATATGCATATATGTGTATATGTGTGTGTATCTATTAAGAGTTAGATTTTGTGTATAACTAAAACAGAAAGCTGAAATACGGGGAAATAATTCATTCCAACCCACAAGATTGCAAAAGAGAAAAAGGAGGCAATAGTGTTGCTGATAAACTGTTGGACTGTGTGACAGGAGACCTCTGCATGTTCTCAAAAACAGAATGTCTTCAGGATAAGAAAAAAGACTTGTGTCAATATTATGTCAACTAAGGAACAATGTTTTGTAAAGAGAAGAAGCAGAGTTTGCTCAAGGGTATAAAAATTGTGGCAATTTCAGGGAATTTTGTGGTCTCTCACAGGCCACCTTCGTGCATGTATTTCTACATGTATTCAAGATGTTGCATGTGACAATCAATAAACTTCTCATTAACTTGAGATAGTTTCTGCCTCCTGATTTTTACAACCCAATTCTCCCTCTGTTTCTCTGTCTTTCCATGTTGGGCGAGCTAAATGGCACAACGAATAAAGTACTGGCTCTGGAAGACCTGAGTTCAAATTCAGCCCCGGACATTTACTAGCTATGTGACCCTAGGCAAGTCACTTAACCTCTGTTAGCCTCAGTTTCCTTAACTGTAAAATGGAGATAATACCTAC